GAAGCAAGAGGCTCTCGTGTTCCAGGCCGACCTGGCCTATATAATGAAAATAAATAGGTAAATAATAAGTAAAGAAGTAAGTAAGTAAATAGATGGTCGGTAGGCAGAGTGCTTTCTTGGCACACACTGGAATTCACAATCCTTGCCCAGCCATCATCAGAGAAGTTTCTTCTTGCGGTAGTCAGTAACTAACACAGTGACCCTTACAGGCCCATGTACATGAATGAGGAACCTAAAACCAAACCCTTCATTAGACCCTTCCCCTCAGGGCTCAGAGGGCTCTGAGGAAGAGGAGGAGGAAAGATCGTGAGAGCCAGTGGGGATGGAGGACACCAAGGAAGCGGTGTCTTCGAGTTGCAATAGAACTGACACATGAGACCCCACCGAGAGACTCACGGTGCCTGCACAGAGCCAAGCCAGATGGGTTCCTGTACTGAGAGAAAGAACTGGACAAGCGTTCCCATCCCTAACCAAAAAGCTATCTCCAGTTGACAACTGCTTACAAAGGAAAATGGGTTTCTGAAGGGAGTCTCACTGTGTATACTAACCGCACCCGAGGGCAGGCCCCAGCCCAGCGGTAGATGGCCAACACAAACAAACTCAATGGCATTTTTGTAGACTTTTTGTCTCACATTGCACTGTTTGGGCATTTTCTGTCTTATTGGCCTTTTGCTTATAAATTATGGTTACTGGTTTTGTGCTTTTATGGGTTTTGTTTTTGTGAGTATGTGTGTATCGTGTGTTTTTCTTTTGTTGTTGTTGTTTGTTTGCCTGTTTGTTTTCTAAAGAAAGAAAGGGAATGGAGTTGGGTGAGTGGGGAAGATCTGGGAGGAGTTGGGGGAGGGGAAACCATGATCAGAATATATTGAATGAAAAAAATTTTAATTAAAAAAAAAAAGATGGGCCGGGCGGTGGTGGCGCACGCCTTTAATCCCAGCACTCGGGAGGCAGAGGCAGGCGGATCTCTGTGAGTTCGAGGCCAGCCTGGTCTACAAGAGCTAGTTCCAGGACAGGAACCAAAAGCTACGGAGAAACCCTGTCTCGAAAAATCAAAAAAAAAAAAAAAAAAAAAAGATGGTGTTCTTTTTTTTTTTCTTTTTCTTTTTTTGGTTTTTCGAGACAGGGTTTCGCTGTAGTTTTAGAGCCTGACCTGGAACTAGCTCTTGTAGACCAGGCTGGCCTCGAACTCACAGAGATCCGCCTGCCTCTGCCTCCCAAGTGCTGAGATTAAAGGCGGGCTATACCACCACCCGACTTAAAGATGGTATTTTTTTCAGCAGTGCATATACTAACATTGGAACGACACAATACAGAGATTAGCTTGGTTCCTGTGAAGGATGACATGCTAATCTGTGAAACAATCCTTGTTTTTCTCTTTCTTTTTTTAAAAAAGGCTAGGGCTGCTACACAGAGAAACTCTATCTAGAAAAACCAATCCCCCACCCCCCAAAAAAGAACTGGGTGGTGGCACATGCTTTTAACCCCAGAATTTAGGAGGCAGAGGCAGCTGAACCTCTGTGAATTCCAGGCCAGTCTGGTCTACAAAATGAGTTTCAGGACACAGAGAAACCCTGTTTCAAAAATTAAAACAAAAAACCAAAACAAACAACAACAACAATAAAATAGGGGCTGGCTCTCTTGTAGCACAGAAATGGTTCAGTTGTAACTACAGCTCCAGAGGGATCAAATGCCTCTGGCTTCCAAGGGCACCTGTACTCATGTGCACATACAACACACACACACACACACACACACACACACACACACACGCACCATGACTGGCTCCATACATTTTCTCCAGTAGTGTATCCACTGCTCTGTGTATGTAGTACATGCTCCTGAAGACAACCCTAATGAATTCCTTGGGTCTCTCTCACACACACACACACACACACACACACACACACACGCATGTGCGCGCGTGCACTCACACACGAAAATAGAAGAGGGGCCCAATAGGGGTAGGAGGGGGACAAGAAAGGACAATGTATTTGTGTGTGTGTATTTGTGTGTGTGTTAAATACAGTAAAAATCTATGTGTACGTCATGCAAATGTCATAATGAGCCAGGCAGTGGTAGCACACGCCTTTAATCCTAACACTTGGGTGGCAGAGGCAGGCGAATCTTGAATTCTAGACCAGTCTGGTCTACAGAGTGAGTTTCAGGACAGCCAAGGTTACAGAGAGAGACCCTGTCTTGAAAGACAAACAAACCAACAAAATATAAAAGAAACAAACAAAAGTCATAATGAAACCAATTATTGTGTATGGTTAATACATACTGACAAAACATTAAAAGTTAAAATAAGCAAATATAATAAAAAATAGAAAAATCTCTGAGACTCTGTCTTAAAACATTTACATTGACGTGGACATTCTGTTTACATACATTTACACACATATATGTACATACATTTGTATGTAGCACATGATTTTATCCAAGTAAAAATAACTATTCCTGTAAGTGTAGATTTCTCTAGAATGAGTGCTTGCCTAGGTTAAGCAAAGCCCTGATTTTTATCCTCAGGACTGAAAACAACAAGAACAGCAACAACAAACTGTCCCAGGAAGTAGAGAAAGGCCATACTACATAGAGAGACAGAATAAGAGGGCACTAGAGGGATTTGGCGCTGGAAATCCTTCTGCACAATCCTGGTCCCAATCCCGAGTTTCTGGGTCTCAGTGACACACACTTGGAGCTGAACGTAATCCTGATGATCTAAACAGTTAAGGGACAATGGTACATGCTGCCCAAGCCCACAGAGTCTAAGTGGGGGTCTCCTTGGAGAGTGTGGGAGTCTCTTCGGTGTGTCTTCCATGTGTGAGCCGCAGTGAAGACACTATGACATCCCCACACTTTCTGGAGGAGGAAGGCACTGGAAGATGGCCAGAGGAGAAACAGTATGTTTTCTAAACTAGACCTTGTAAATTGCAAGTCAAACCTTGTAGTCAAAAGCAGGAGATAATAGGGATCCCTGAGACAAACGCTGTTAGGTTTGGGGAGGCCTTAGGGACCCAAGTAAAGAGCTAGGGGTTCACTGAGAGCAGTAAGAGGTGATTTCAGTGTTGAGCCAGGGAGGTGCCAGTGGGAGGCAGCAGGCATGCGGAGTGAGTCAACGGAGATCCTGACCAGGTTCAGTGGCTGTCATGAGAGGAAGCATGAGGAGGGAGGCTGTAGCTTCAGTGACTCAGAGATGCTGGTACCATGAGAAAAACCAGAAATTGTGTGTGCGGCGGTGGCGCCAAGGTCACTCAATCAGTCTTCTTTGCCCCACAGTCCCAAGGCCCCTTGGAATGGTTTGAGAACTATCAAGAGTCCTGAGTATTTCATTTTGCAAGTGTGGAAACTGAGGTACAAAAAGGATAAATGAGCTGGGTGATAGGGCATGCTCTTACTCCCAGCACTTGGGAAACGGAGGCGGTGGGGGCTGGGGGATCTCGGTGAAGTGAGGTCCTGTCTGAGAGAAGAGAAAGAAAGGAAGGAAGGAAGGAAGGAAGGAAAAAAGGAAGGAAGAAGGGAGGGAGGGAAGGAGAGAGAGAGAGAAAGGAGAAGAAGAAAAAAAGAAATTATTTGCCTGTGGTGATGAGTGTCAGGACTTAAACGTTTGAACTGGAATCTGGGTCTCTCTCTCTGTCCTAGAAAGGAGTGTGCCAGGTTAGGTTAGGGAAACAGCTGACCATGGACGTATCTATCATAACGTAGCTCATCACCTGCACCTAAGGAGATAAGAAAACAAAAGAAGGTGGTTGGTGCTCTAGGAGATAGGAAGCAATCTTGGCTAAAACTAAACTTGGGATTATCTAGGCCTCACTTGGCTAGTATTTCTGTCCTTCAGTGTTTCTCTCTCTCTCTCTCTCTCTCTCTCTCTCTCTCTCTCACACACACACACACACACACACACACACACACACACACACACATATCTGTAGCTTCCTGGAAAGGAACCTGAACCCCCATAGATTCGGATAGGTATGGGTGCTCACCTGGCCCAGCAGGTAGGCCTAGCAGGTGAGCCCCCATGGATTCGGATGGGTATGTGTGCTCACCTGGTCCATCCAGCAGGTGCCTAGCAGGTGAGCCCCCATAGATTCGGATAGGTATGGGTGCTCACCTGGCCCAGCAGGTGTCTAACAGGTGTCACAGGTGTACCTCAGAAAGACTTCTAAAAGAATGCCACCCATACACCCAACTCTATGCTGCTCCCCTAACCCCTTAGTGATACTATCTCACTTGACATACTACCTTTTTGTCTACAGACCATGGTGTCCTTAAGGCAGAATAAGCTTTGCTTTCCTCAAAAATGCTCTTTAAAGTTCCTCCCAGTTCCAATCCTTGGATTCCTATTCCCCTCCAAGCCTCTGCCGGCGAACCCTCATGGGCACAGGATTCCTGGACCAAACCTCTAGTCACATTGTCCACAGCCAGCAACCCTGACCTGCAATAATCCCTTATGTGTCAAGGCTGAAGACTGGTCCAACCAACCCAAGGCTACAAGCTTTGGCCAGTGGTGGAGGTTTAAAGCTGTATAGGTTGTCCTTGGTATTTAAGCTGGGATAACATTCCCCAGCCAGACCCCGAGTCCTGAAATCTGCTCAGAGGATGGGAGGATGGGCCTGAGATTGTCCTGGAGCCCCAGTGCTGAGCATCACACTCCAGAAAGGAGGGGGAGCGGGGAGGGCCCCACCTACCTGGTGAGGTCATGGGAAAGCAGCTCTGGCGCTGACACCTGGGGAAACCCGTTTCCAGGCTGCTTCCCACGCTAGCTCTCCTGGGAACCAACTAAGCCAAGCCCCAAGCAGGGAGCCCCACACCTGTTCCCCCTAGTCCAGTTCCCATCACATTGTCCCATCTGATCCAGCCCCCACCCTTCAACCCAGCCTCAGTTCCCAACCCATCTGCCAGGCTGCTGGGCCTTGAGAAAGGTTACGAAGGGGCATTGGGCATGATCCAGGAAACCACGGAGACAGCAGCTTCAGAAATAGAAGGTTTTATTCGCAGATTGCATTGCTCACCTTCTAAGCTATGACCTTGGGGAAAGGGACAACCCCTGACCCTTCCTCCTTCAGGCTCTCATTTGCAGCTCCTCCCCCTCCCTTCGCTGGGCCTGGACTCTCACTTCCTGCCCCTTTGCTGGCCCAGCCAGTTTGGGCAGTGCCCAGGGAGTCCAGAGACCCAGTTCTTCCCCGGGAACAGCCCAGCCTCCCTGGCCTTGGGGCCTGAGGGCAGCCCAGGTGTCAGCCCTCTCCACAGCTGTCCGCCCTGCTCTTTTTTTAGGCCCAGTCCTCTAGTCCGTCTCCAGTCCTCCACTTCAAGGCTCACGTTCTGTTTCCCGTCTCAATCTCTCACTGGCGTGAGACTCAAACTCTCACTTCCTACTCCATCTCAAACCTCTCCAAATCAAGACCGACCATCTTCCAACCCTCCAAGATGCCTCACTTTGTCACACCTGTGCTAGGAGAGGGTGAGGGCATCCACAATGGGCCTGCATTCAGCGGCCCCACGGTAAAAAAAAAAAAAAATGGGAATTACATCCCAAGCTGCTCAGAAACCGGCACTGATGCGATTATCCCATGAATATCAAAGTGCTGGGATTTTCCTGCGAGTCTTGACCAATGCAATCCAAATCAGAGTCAGCCCCTTGCACAGGACAGAGCTCACCCCGTCTTATCAGAGTGTGCAGCTAGAGGCCCACATTCCCAGCGTTCAATAGAGAACTGAGTCCCGGGAGCTGGCCAGGCCCTGCTAGTACCCGATGTCCCAGGGTCCGGAAGTCTCCAGCCACCTGCCTACCACTTGCACTACCGTGACTGCTCAAACAAAGCAGAAGAACTTCTTCCAGCGGCAGCGAGAGAGCGTGCGCACGCCTTTTGCGTTCAGTTTCTTCTCTAGGCGGGCTTTGTGTTCAATGGCACTGAGAATGGCCGAGTCAAACACCTCCTTCAAGTTCTTCTGTGTCAAGGCTGAACACTCAAGGTAGCAGCAGGCCCGGATTTTCTCCGCCAGACCCTGGGCCTGGGGTTGGGGTATTGGGCCCTCCCGGCCTCCCTGGTCCAGTTGAATTAGTACATTGACATCGTCCCTCAGATCAGCCTGAGTGCCCACCAGCAACACAGGTGCTTGGGGGTTGTGAGTGCGGATCTCCGGCAGCCATTTTTCTGTGATGTTTTGGAAGGAGCTGGGCTGCACCACACTGAAGCAAGCCAGAAAGACATCAGTATCTGGGTAGCAGAGGGAGCGAAGCCGGTCAAAGTCCTCCTAGGGGGTAGCAAGGCCAGTTGTTAGCAAGATCATTCCCTTCACATTGGAACAGGAGTCTGCTTCTCACTTAGGGGGTGGAGACCTAAGACTCCTAAAGCCCAAAGCCTGTTCCATTCCTACTCCATGCAGGTATCCTCCCAGCCTCCAACCCTCTCTAACCCCTCACCCAACGAAGGCTACACCCAGCTTCTCACCTGCCCTGCGGTATCCCAGAGCTCGATTCGCACAGGGGCTCCATCTACCAGGACTTGCACTGCAGAGGTGGGGAGGGGAAAGCATGAGTTAGGCACAGCATCCTCGTCCTTCTAGGCAGGCCTCACCAGCGCCACCTCCGGGCCTGCTCTCGGGGGGGGGGGGGGGGGTCTTCGGTGCCCTCCCGCCAGCACGCCGGCCCTAAACCACAACCCCTCCCCAGCCTCAGGGGCCCCGGGGCAGTAGAACATACCGGAGAAGGTGTCCAGTGCCGTGGGCCGGTAGCGCGTGGGGTACCCATTGCAGGTATAGCTGACGATGAGACTGCTCTTGCCCACCGCGCCATCGCCCACTAGCACGCATTTGATGCCCAGCTCCGGAGGTGCGCTGCGCCGCCGCGGAGGAGGGGTCGAGGCTGGGAGAGGCGGTGGCTCGGCGTCGCTCAGCTCCCGTGGCGGCATGGCCCGCTCCCGGGGTAGCAAAGGGGCCAGCCCGGACCAGGCTCCGCGGCGCTCAGGGAAGCAGGTTCCGCAGGCGGTCGGCGACAGTCTGTCCAAGCTGGGCACGCCCGCTAGAGGCTAGCAGAGGGTATATATGTTGGGCCCCGCCCACCTCATCTGCATGTCCCAAGTGGCCCGGACCCCGCCCACCGACCTGGACCTCCCTCTGCAGAACACTCAGCGATAGCCAAGCTTCCAGAGAAGAAAGGGATATGAAAACCTGGCCATCGTGAAGGTACAAGGACAAAGACCCGGCATATGATATTTGGCAGATTCATGATTTATTGTTAATAGGAAGACACAAACTACAGAATCCATAATGTAGCATGTTCAAATTAAACACATCACATTAAATCTTTTTTAAGTAAAAAAAAAAAGCTTTTATACATACGTTGGTATGTGTATTAAGCATCAGTACAGTAATTTTACTAATAAAGTATTCTTTCAACCTACTGGGAGTGAGCCTGAGATTGTAGCCCAGAGTGCCTGCCTAGCATGGGTAAAGCCCTAGGTCTGATTCCCCAGTACCACCGGACTGGTGGTGCAGTCCTCTAATCCCAGCACCCTGGGGGCAGAGGAAGAAGGATCAGAACTTCAAGGCCATCTTCTGTTGCACAGAGACAGAGGGAGACCAGGCCAGGCTACAATGAGACCCTGTCTGAAATAAACAATCTGGTGTGGTTGGTTGCTGCCCCATGGCTTTATTCTCAGCAGCAGAGAGGCAGACACAGAAGCAGAAGGATCTCTGTGTGTTTGAGGCCAGCTTGGTATACATAGTTAAGTTCTAGACAGTCATGACTACATAGTGAAAGCCTGTCTCAAAACAAACTGACAAAAATATAATATGCATATATTATAGGGAATGGTGATGAAATCTGGGTAAAAAAGAGTGCTTGCCTAGCATAAATGTGGCCCTCTGTTTAATGTCTAGCACATTTAAAAAAAATACACAGGGCTAGAGAGATGGCTCAGTGGTCAATGAACTTCTTCTGCTTCTTTGTTTGTTTGTTCGTTTTTTTGTTTTGTTTTTTTTTTTTGTTTGTTTGTTTTTTAAGACAGGGTTTTTCTGTCACTTTGGAGCCTGTCCTGGAACCCACTCTGAAGACCAGGCTGGCCTCAAATTCACAGAAATCCACCTGCCTCTGCCTCCTGAGTGCTGGGATTAAAGGTGTGCGCCACCACTTCTACACACAACAGCCATTCAAAACAAAGTTGTAAAGCTTCACATTCGATTTTATATTTTCACTATCAAATATATTTTTGAATACTTTTTAAAGATATAACATGTATAGGTGTTTTGTCTGCATGTATGTCTGTCTATATGCCACATGCATACAGCGCCCATGGAAGCCAGTGGAGGATGTCAGATGCCCTGGAACTGGAGTACAGATGGTTGCTAGGAGCCATAAAGGTGCTCAGAACCAAACTCACATCCTTCACAAGTGCGACAAGTGCTCTTAGCTGCTCGGGCATTTCTTTAGCACCCCCTGTGTGCATTTGAACATTTGTAAAGTTCCCAAAATAACTACTGTTATTCTTTTTAAATAAAGAGTTTATTTTTTATTTGTAGTGTATGTCTGTACACGGATATGTGCACATGAGTACAGTCCCTGAGGAGACCAAAAGAGGACCTAAGAGTCCCTGAAGCTGGGCTTACACACATTATGAAGCTGCCTAAGCGGGTGCTGGGAACTGAACTCGGGTCCTCTAAAAGGGCAGCATGCACCTTTAACTATTGAGCCATCTCTCCAGCCCAGTCTAATGTTATCATTAGCATGAAAGCACACTATAATTACCTGCTTGCAGCTGCTGTTCCTGGGCCACCTACAGTCCTCGCCCTGAAAGGAACTCACAGACTCTGACAAGACTTGCCAGGTAAGGTCACCCAGAGAGCAAGTGAGAGAGTAGCCTGATACTAATTTAGTCCCTACGGAAGTCACAGCAAGTGACATTAGGCCCGGTACCTTCCTCTGCTTCCCTAGGCAGTCTTTTATCTCAGTCTGCACAAAGATCACCGAGACGCTTTCACACAAGCAGGCAGACATTCATGAGTTTGGGGAAAGGACAAGACTGCAAAGCGGATAGGAGGTGATACTAAAGAGACACCCAGTATATTAGTTCAGAATTCCACAAATCTAGCCTGATGTGGTATTCATCTGCAACCCCAGCACTCGGGAGGCTGAGGCAGCAGGACTGCCATAAAACAAAGACAGTCTAGTTTACATGATGGGTGCCAGGGCATCCAAGACTACCCAAGACCCCATCACAAAATACAAACAAAAATCTTGATGTGAAATGGGTAAAAAATTGCTGACTTGACTGCACTTGGAAAACTGTAGGTGTCCCAGTAGCCACTTTTATATCCCAGTGTCTACCTCCTCATTCCCTTTATCTACATGTCTAAAGATGTTAATGATCCTAATTGCTGCCTCACCCCCCCCCCCCCAATCCTCAGACGCATCCCCATAGGTTTATTTACAGAGTTACTGAAAGGTGTCATAAGTGTCATCATTCTCTTACATCACCCGAGAAAGTCCAAAAGCCGTTCATTTTGTCCTGGAAAGAGAGGGGACTTTAGACTCAGTCTCCCCTGTTCTTCAGCTCATAAGCTGACTCCTACAAAATCAATCACTTCACCACTCTTAGTACTAGTATTTATCTCCGAAAGCCCTTCTGGTAATAGCTGTCTGTGATTCAGGAATCCTAGGGATGCTGCATAGGTGTCCAGGATAAAACTACTCAATACGTGGGTAGACACACCCACTCTCCTCTCTCTCCCTTTGGAATACTCTTTTCTTTAACCTGGGTTTTAATAATAACTTTATTGGACTGGCGATACAGCTGAGTTTGTACAGTGGAATCACACATGAGATCCTGGGTTTCATTCCCAGCATGATATAAATCTGGAGTGAAGTACACTCCTGTAATCCTGGTGCTTAAAAAGTAGTGACAGCAGGGCATGGTGGCACACACCTTTAATCCCAGCACTTGGGAATCAAAGGCAGGCTGATCTCTATGAGTTTAAGGCCAGCGTGGTCTACTTATTGAGTCCCAGGTCAGCCAGGGCTACGTAGTGTGACTCTCTTTCAAAAATAATAAGAGATGTAGTGTTAGGATCATCAGAAGCTCAAGGTCTCCTGAGCGACACAGCAGGTTCAAGGTCAGCTGGGATATATGAGGACTGGTCTCAAAGGGGAAACTAAAGCTTTATTAAAGGTTTAGTACTTTTCAATCCTTTCTGAAGACATACAAATACCACACGGGTGGGACAAACATGGGACATGTCTGCTGGGCTTGAGGAAATGTCCTGCCCTGGTCTGAGGCTGGCCGTTCTTCAATGGTCTCGTGGGTGGAGACACTTTCTGACCAAGGTCCCTCTCTCTAAGCTGGTTTAGGTACAGTCTTGTCAGCAAGAGGGGGAGGGAGGAGACAACCTGGGAGCTGGTGAGTCACCTATTTCTCAGCTAAGGACTTGCAATTCTGGCTGCCACTTCTGGGAAAGTCCTCTTCTAGGTGCCGGGGTTGCAACTTCTTCCTGCCCGTCTGCCATGTCTGCCCCAACTTCCAGACATATCTGCTAGGGTTACAACTTGGCACCAACATTATGTGCTGGGTAAATGGTCTACTCTAGGATGGGGGCAGGAAACAGACACGAGGAGCCTGAAGCATTGTGGAGAGCAAGAGCTAAACAAACAAATACGACAGGAAAAATGGAAGCAGTTCATAGAGAGAAAAGTCAAGTGGTCCAAACTGAACTATGTGAACAAGGTAAAGCAATATAATCTATCATAACACAAATAATTATAAATCTATACCCACAAAAGCTTTATATATAAATAAGATGAGGATAAGAATTTCAAAGAGCTGAACAGTGGTGGCACACACCTTCAATCCCAGCACTCAGGAGGCAGAGGCAGCTTGTGAGGTTGAGGCCAGAATGCTTCCAGAATGTTCAGTATAGTTGCATGGGACTCTAGACCTGTAAAAATACTGCTGTTTGTCCTGACTGACAACAATCAGAAGAACTGAAGTGAGGTGTGTGTGTGTGTGTGTGTGTGTGTGTGTGTGTATCTTCCTGTTTTGTGGCTGAGTATATTGAAGTCCAGAAGATGAGTTGTAGAATTAGGAGACATCAAAGAAACTGACAGTCTGTCCCCAACCAACAAGCCACAGTCCATACTAATGTGTAGAATATTGTCAGGCATTTTTGTTTATTCCTTATCCTATTTAAATATATTTATTTCTTTAGATTTATTTATTTTATGTAGACCCAAGCTCTGTTCCCAACATCCACATGGCGGCTCACGAGTCTCCCCACAACTCCAGCTCCAGGGGATCGGCACCTTCCTCTGACCTCTGAGGTGCCAGGCACACATACAGTGCACCTCTGTAGTGCACGCAAAGCACTATATGCATAAAATAACAATAAAAAACAAAAGGAAAAGCCAGTGGTGGTGCTGGTGCATGCCTTTAGTCCCAGAGGTAGAGGAAAGCTGATCTCTGTGGGTTCAAGGTGAGCCTGGTCCACAAAGTGAGTTCCAGGGACAGTCAGAGCTGTTACACAGAGCCTGTCTAGAAAAACAGAACAAAGAAACAAAAACAAAACAAAAAAGAGCAAAAATAAAGACAAGAGTAAGCCAAAAGAAACTCATACTGCACTCAAGGCTGCTGTCAAGAGTGAGTGCACAGAGGCCTGGCAGTGGTGGCACACACCTTTAATCCCAGCACTCGGGAGGCAGAGGCAGGTGGATCTCTGTGAGTTTGAGGCCAGCCTGGTCTACAAGAGCTAGTTCCAGGACAGGCTCCAAAGCCACAGAGAAATCCTGTCTTGAAAAACAAACAAACAAAAAATAACAAACAAAAACAAAACAAAAAAACCCCAACAACAACACAAAAGAGTGAGTCCAGAGATCAGGAAATTTTTAAATAAAGAGAAGATGAAAGAAAAAAAATCTTATGGGCTGTTGAAATGGTTCAGCACGTAAAGATGCCAGCTACCAAACCTGAATACCTGAGTTCAATCCCTGGGACCCACATGGTGGAAGTAGAAAACTGATTCCTGCAAGCTGTCCTCCTTCTCTGATCTCCAGATGCCTGCTGCCAAAAGGCACAAGCACTCACACACTAATAAATTAGTAAGTACATCTAATAAAAATAAAAAATTAAATTAAAAAGAAAAAAGGAAATATATATATATATAAAATATATATATATATATATATATATAAAATCTTATTTGCCAGACTTTAACGATGATAATGACAGTATTACAATAATCATTCGACTCTGACACACTTTCTAAATTTTCCCGGTTAATTGGAGTGAGAGAGCGTTTGGAGGTTATATTCGGTGGTCTTGGTTGAATTGCCTCGTGGCATCACTGGCTAGCCCTCTAGCTGCCAAGGTCCCCCACATCCTCTGTTTTATCCATTGGCACTCAGCTCTGGGCTTCTATCATGTCCTTGCCCTTCCCGTTTTTCACCCAGCCAACCCCAAGTGAGAATATCTGCCCCCAATCTCTAAACGTCCTCAGACCCTGACCAATACTGCTGAGTGTTTGCTAAGAGCTGTCACTTAAAAACAATCATCCAGAGCCAGGCGTGGCGGCACACGCTTTTAATCCCAGCTTGGGAGGCACAGGTAGGAGGAGCTCGGTGAGTTCGAGTTCAGCGTGGTCTACAGAGTGAGCTACACAGAGAGGCTGTCTCAAAAAGAGCAAAATAAACACACACACACACACACACACAAAACAAAACAAAAAAATCAACAACAAAACAACAGCAACCAGAAACCATCCTTCCTGACGGCTCTGGAAGATGGTGGAGGAGCAGGTTTTAGTTCCTTAGCAACAAGGCCAGTCTGCGGAGGCCCAGTGGTCATGTGCAGAGCAGCATCGACATTTCCAGAACTTTCTACAGAAGTAACTGGACAGAAACCCTGGCATTCCTCACCCAAGACGCATTCCCGTGGTCTGTGTGAGGCCAGCGGCCACACTGGACCAGGCAAGGCCAGGCTGCCCTGGAATGTTCCATGGGGTCCCTCCCTCCCCTGACAATAAAAACAAACAAAACAACAACAAAAACCCTGGTAGTGGTCCCTGCCACCCTCAGGTTATGCAGCTGAAGCCTGTCAAAAAGTGGCTCACCTCGGGCGTCGAGCTCATGGCACCACCGGAAGTGTCTGAACCAGGTGATGACCACAACGGAAAGGAAAGCGGAAGGAAGAGACAGTGAACCGGAAGAAGCCCTCGCCTCCTCGAGGAGAACTCGGGCGAGAAAACCTGTTGGTTCACGAAGGTCCTCAAGATGAATGGTGCGAGCCCAATAAAGACTGTATGTGCGTAAAAAACAGCCTCATCCAAAAGGACTCCCTTTAATTTTTGTTGTTATTGCTTTGTTTCTCGAGCAGGGTTTCTCAGTGTTACAGTCCTAGCTGTCCTGGGAACTCGCTCTGTAGACCAAGCTGGCCTCGAACTCACAGAAATCCGCCTGCCTCTGCCTCCCTACTGCTGAGGTTGAAGGCATATGCCATCACCACCCAGTGAACTCCCTTTGACTGAGGTCCCTATTATACTTATTTCTAGCGATTGATAAAGCTATTTCTCAATTTAATGAGTAGGCTACACATTGTAGCCCAGAACTGTCTGGAGCTTTCTATGTAACCCAGGTCAACAGCGAATTTATCTCCCTGCTTCAGCCCCCTGAGTGCTGGGCACAGACGTGGGTGGAGCCACCACCGAGCTCTCAGCCCTTTCTTTCCAAGTGTCTGGCTTCCTTCCCTTCAGGATTCTGTATCACAAGACTCACCTCCTACTTACCTTCTGGGCTTGCTTTGTTTCTCTCTAGTGCACCTAAGGTTCTTAAGACAACAGATCTGTCACTCTCCCACTCAAAAGCCAGCAGCAGAGAGTGAGAGTAAATGCTGGTCTCAGCTTGACATCACACACCCTCAGGATGGGATAATAAAATGACGGAGAGGGATTGTTTATGTATTTATTTATATTTATTTATTGGGTTTTTTGTTTTGTTTTGTTTTTGATACAGGGTTTCTTTGTGTAGCCCTGGCTGTCCTGAAAGTCACTCTGTAGACCAGGCTGGCCTCAAAGTTAGAGATCTGCCCCTCCCAAGTGCTGGGATTAAATGCATGCACTACTACGGCCCTTGGAGGAGAGGAATTTTAAAAACTGGGAATTGTTGTGTATTCCTATAATCCCAGAAATGGGAATATAGAGGCAGGAGATCAGGAGTTCAAGTCTCGCTTCAGTCACTTACGTAGTTAAAGGCCAATCTTGGTTACATGGTGAGTTCTAGGTCATTGTAAATTCCTGTCTCAAAACAAAATGAAAAGAAGAAAAAATGAGAAAGGAAGAAATGGGAAGAAAGAAAGAAAGAAACAAAGAAAGAAAGAAAAAGGAAGGAAGGAAGGAGAGGGGCTGGAGAGACAGTTCAGTGGTTAAGAAAATTGACTGCTCTTCCAGAGGACCTGGGTTCAATTCCCAGCACCCACATGGCAGCCCACGACTGTCTGTAACCCCAATCCAGGGGATCTGACACCTCACACAGACATACATGTAGGCAAAACACCAATATAAAATAAAATAAAAATAAATTATTTACAAAGAGAAAGAAAGAGGCGGGCACAGTGCGGTGAGTCAGTGGTTAAGAGAGCTCTCCTGGAGAAAGCTAGGGTTCAGTTCCGGGCACCTACGTGTGCAATGAAAAGCATCAGCTCAGGACCCTCAAGACCACTTCTTAGCACAAGGGAAATTTATTTTCCTCACAGGGATAGAGAGCAGGGATAAGGGACTAAGACAGGAGATAGAGAAAGAGGGAGAAGGGGAAAGGAACAACAAAAAAGGGGAGCAGAAGTATTTGTTACCAAGGGGCAAAGGACTGCCTCTGGATAAAGAGGGACAGACGTGGCCCATAGGATGGAGGACTGCCTCTGCATAGAGAGGGGACAGACGTGGCACAGAGGAAAATGGTAGTTTATAAAGGTAAAACAGGAAAGCCTGTGTTAGGATGAGGTGTTTAATTTTAACTGGGCATGCTAATTAGGTGAGCCAAAGGGATTGCTGGATTTAAATACTTTAATAGCTGGACCTTGGTAGTCAGCTTCGGGAGCAGGGATTGGCCAAATAAGGGGATAGACCTTGCAGGCTAGCTTTAGGAATGTAATCTAATGGTTTTTATCAAGGCAGAAGAGATGGGGAAAGAGGGCAAAGCCACATGCTCACACGGGCTAGTGTCCCTTCAACACGTATGTTCACAGTCATGTGTAACTCCAGCTCCGGGGAATCAGCCCTCTTCTGGCCTCTACTAGCATTGGACATGCTTGTGGTGTATATATGTCTGTGCAGGTAAACACTCTCACGCATAAATAATACAGAATCCTTAGAAAGAAAAGAAAGGTGGGGTGGGGTGGGGGTGCTGTGAGGTGGTTCAGCAGGTAAAGGCACTTGCCACAGAGACTGATAACGAACTTCGGACCCTGGAATTCACATCAAGGCGGGAGGAGAAAACTGACTGGACAAAATTGTCCTCTGACATCTACATTACATGTGTGGTGGTACACCTGTGCCTGCACCCACAGAGTTTTTTTTTTTTTTTTGGTTTTTCGAGACAGGGTTTCTCTGTGGTTTTGGAGCCTGTCCTGGAACTAGCTCTTGTAGACCAGGCTGGTCTCGAAATCACAGAGATCCGCCTGCCTCTGCCTCCCGAGTGCTGGGATTAAAGGCGTGCGCCACCACGGCCCGGCCCAATAATAAAAATTTTAAACTAAGCCCAAAAGCCCGTGCGGCAGGCTCCGGCAGCTCCAAGATGGCGACTCCCATGCATCGGCTCATAGCTCGGAGACAAGCTGAAGCCAATAAGCAACATGTAAAATGTCAGAAATGCTTGGAATTTGGACATTGGACATATGAATGCAAAGGAAAAAGAAAGTACCTGCACAGGCCTTCCAGAACAGCGGAGCTGAAGAAAGCTTTAAAAGAGAAAGAAAATAGATTCTTGCAGCAAAGCATTGGAGAGACTAATGTAGAAAGAAAGAGCAAGAAGAAGAGGTCTAAGAGTGTCACAAGTTCCAGTACCTCGAGCAGTGACAGTTCAGCCAGTGAGTCTTCATCAGAGAGCGAGACATCTGCCTCATCCTCCTCAGAGGACAGTGACTCTGACGACAGCCGCTCTAGCTCCTCCTCCTCAGCTTACACCTCCTCGTCTTCCTCCTCCTAGGACTCAGACTCAGACTCCAGCTCCTCCAGCAGCAGCAGTCGCAGTACAGAGAGCAGCTCTGATGATGAGCCGCCCAAGAAGAGGAAAAAGAAATAGAACTCTCCCTACACTGGACTTATGGACCAAAAACATCACTTTGATTCACAGGGGAACTGAAAACATGCTCAAGCAAGCAAGTTAGCTGGTCAGCTTGTTAGAATTCGGAACTTTCTAAGTATTCGCTATTGTATGAAATATTAATAAAAGATATTATATATATATAAGACATTTATTTTAGGAATAAATATTGTCTTCTTGCTGTTTTCAAAAAAATTTTAAACTAAAAAATTAAAAATTGAAAGGTAGAAAGATGGAAAATAAGAGAAAGGCGTGGGGGCGGGGGGGTCAATGAGATGGCTCAGAGGGTGAGGGTACTCGCTCCCAAGTCTGAAAACCTGTGTTTGGTCCTCAGAACACACAGTAGAGGGAGAGAATTGATTCCCACACATTGTCCTTTGATCTCCATACATCTATGTGCCTACACATATACACACAAAAATAAGTAAATAAAAATGTAATTTAATTTTTTTTAAATGTACCAAGTCTAGTGGTGCACACCTTTAATCTCAGCACTGCGGACACAGAAGCAGGTGGATCTCTGTGAGCTCCAGGCCACTCGGTCTAAATGAAAAGGAGCTGGAATCAGCAAATCCGAGGCCAGCCTGGTCTATATGAGACCTCAGAAAATTAAAAAATTCACTGGGCAGTGGTGGTGCGTGCCTTTAATTCCATCACTTAGGAGGCAGAAGTAGGTGGATCTCTGTGAGTTCAAGGCCAGCCTGGTCTATAGATAGTGTTCCAGGACAGTCAAAGCTACACAGAGAAACCCTGTCTCGAAAAAACAAAAATAAATAAATAAATAATTAAAAATTAAAAAATGAAACAAACGTGGAGCACTTTAAACTACATGGGTGAACCACATCTTTTTTGTTTGTTTTTAGTTTTGTTTTTGTTTTTTTGAGACAGTGTTTCTCTGTGTAACAGTCCTAGTTGTCCTGGAACTAGTTCTGTAGAGCAGGCTGGCCTCGAACTCACAGAGATCTGCTTGCTTCTGCCTCCTGAGTGCAAGGTTAAAGGCAGGCGCCACCACTGCCCGGCCACACCTTTATCGAGGGCTGTAATTGCAGGCGTGTGTCACTATAGCTGTCTCTGAACATTTTACTTTTAAAATAATTACACACATACTGCACAGTGGCACACGCCCTTAATCACAACACTCAGAAGACGGAAGCAAGTAGATCACCGTTTGACGACAGCCTGGTCTACATACTGAGTTCCAGGAAAGACAAACCTACAGAATAGACCTTGTCTCCAAAATCTTATGTTTTGTATGTGAGGGTATATGTACATGTGTATGTCCACGGGTGGGGGAGGGGTATACATGTGCCATGGTGCACATATGAAGGTCAGAGGACAACTGAAAAGAGGGGGTTAGTTCCTTCTACCATGTGGGGCCTGGGGATTAGACTCAGGGTGTCAGGTTTGGTGGCAAACACCATTGCCTACTGACTTATCTCATCTGTTCAGTTTTTTTAAAGAATGAGTTATTTTATTTTATGTGTATGAGTGTTTAGTTTGCTTGGATGTGTGTGCACCACCTGTGTTCCTGGTTCTACAGACGCAGAAGAGAGCGTTGGGTCTCCTAAAACTGGAGTTACAGATGGTTATGGACTACCACGTGGCCTCTGGGACTTAAACCCTGGTCCTGTGCAAGAGCAACAAGTGAGCCATCTGAGCCATCTCTCCAGCCCCTCACTTCTTAAAAAATAGTTTTTGTTGGTTTCCTTATTTATTTAGATTTATTCTTACTTATGTGTCTGTGTGGGTCCCCCTGAAGCTGGAGTTAGAGGCAGTCTTGAGCCACTCCGCATGGGTGTTGAGAACCAAACGTGGATCTTCTGCAAGAGCAGAACGCACCCTTACCCACTGAGCTGTCTCTCCAGCTTCTGAATGTTTTGCTTTTACAGATAAAGCAGTGATCTGAAATTGTTCTACATCAGAACACAGAGGAAATGCACCATGTCCACAATGACTGGGTTTTGTCCTTACTGCTGAATGGCAGGATTATGAGCAGTTGTCCGAACGTACCACCTAGCCACTGGTTTAGAGGTCACTCCATGTTTCCTGGGAGCCCACCTCATGCAGCTATTAACCTGAAGCCACTTGAGAGTGGGGACGCTCTGGAGCGCTTCCTTCGCAGACCAGCTGCATCCCACAGGGTAGGAGTTTACTAGCTATGATGTAATGCAGGAATGGTGATGGCTTGCCAGATGGTGATAAGACCAGCAGACAGTCACGGCTTTTATACCACAGGCATTTGGCCAAACAGCCAAGCCGCGCGCGACACAGCCAAATCTGTCATTGCTTCTTCCTTCACAACTGGCTCCACTGGCCTAACGCCTTCTCTGGAACCATGGCCAGTTATCACTGGAATCTGGTCAAATCTCTGGGGTTTACACTAAATCAAATGTTCTCATTTGATGGCAATGGTGAGGAAGAAGCAGAGAAATGTGTGTGTGTTGTACATCGATGCACGTGGGTGTATGCAGACACGCACGCAGGTGTGTGTGCACCTGTGTGGGGGTCTGAGGTCAACCTTGAGTATCTTCTATTACTGTTAACCTTGTTTCTTTGAAACAAAGACTCTCACTAACCCTGGAGCTCACTGATTCGTCTAGGATGCCTGAGCAGTGAGCTGCAGGGATTTGCGTGTCTATTCCGCCAGTAGCCCTGGAGTTACAGATGCATGCTGCAGGGTCCATGCATGCTGCAGGGTCTAGGCACACCGCAGGGTCCAGCTTTTGCATATTTTACCAACTGAGTGGTATCTCCAGCCTGAAAAGAGGTCCATGACCTAGTTTGCTTTCTATTGCTATGGTAAACACCACGGTCAGATGCAGTTGGAGGAGGAAAGGATTTATCTGGCTTATTTTTCCATGTCACAGTTCATCACCATGGGAATCCAGGGCAGAAACTCAACACAGGAACCTGGAGGAAAGAACTGAACAGGGACCATGGAGGAGCACTGATATGGGATTTCCCCTCTGTGAGCTATGAATACATTTTATTACCATTGGTTAATAAAGAAGCTGTTTCGGCCTATAGCAGGGCAGAATATAGCCAGACTGGAAGAAATACAGAGAGAAAGTGGATGGAGTCAGAGAGATGCCACGAAGTTGCCAAAGGAGAAAGATGCCAGAATGCCAGAACCTTACCGGCAAGCCAGAGCCTCGTGGTGATACACAGATTAAAAGAAATGAGTTAATTAAAGATGTAAAAGTTAGTTAATAAGAAGCCTGAGCTAACCAGGTGGTGGTGGTGCATGCCTTTAATCCCAGCACTCGGGAGGCAGAGGCAGGAGGATCTCTGGGAGTTCGAGGCCAGCCTGGTCTACAAGAGTTAGTTCCAGGACAGGCACCAAAGCTACAGAGAAACCATGTCTTGAAAAACCAAAAAAAAAAAAAAAAAAAAAAAAAAAAAAAAGGAAGCCTGAGCTAATAGGCCAAACAGTACTGTAATTAATACAGTTTCTGTGTGGTTATTCGGGTCTGGGTGTCCGGGAACGAAAGAGCAGTCTCTGGTCATGGAGCACTGCATATTGGCTCATCCCCATGACTAGTCCAGTTTGCTTTTTTTTTTCTTTCTTTCTCAGACAAGATCTCACTATGTATCTCTGACTGGCCTGGAACTTGCTATGTAGACCAGGCTGGCCTCGAACTCACAGAGACCCACCTACCTTTGCCTCCCAAGTGTTGGGACTAAAGGCATGTGTAGACAGATTTTTCTTTGTGCCTCTAGCTCACAAAAAAACAACATGGAGACTTATTTTTAATTATGAAAGCTTGACCTTAGCTTAGGCTTGTTTCTAACTAGCTCTGATAACTTAAATTAACCCATTTCTATTCATCTGTGTGTGGACACATAGCCCATGGCTTTTACCTCTCCTCCCGCACGTCCTGCTTCCTCTGTATCCGACTATTGACTCCCCCTTCTTCTTCCCAGAGCTCTCTGTCTGGAAGTCCCACCTATACCTCTATCCTATCTATGGCCATTTAGATTTTTATTAAACCAGTAACAGTGACATATCTTTTCAAAGTATAATCAAAAGTATTTCATAATAGGCATACAGCATTATGCCTGGTTCTACAGACCAATCTAGTGAGAGCAATTCCTCAGCTGAAGTTCCCTCTTCCCACCTAAACTTCATCAGTCTGACTGAACCTTGAGCGGTGTGAATGAGGAAGATGAAGGCTTGGGAACGGTCTAAGGACAGGTGACCTCGGAGCAAGACTCTACCCAGAGAAGCTTCCAGCTTGTGAAAAGGAAAAGCTCATGGAATTTTCTGCTTCTAAAAAGCAACAGCAAACTAAGGCCGCTGGAAATGGGATCCAGAACCAGCGGCAGAACACGGCAGTGTTGCTCACGTGGCTCTGGCTTTAGAATCACGAGGGATAAAGGAGAAAAGGGGTTGTGGAATATCCCTCCACAGTCAGGGAGAGCTGTGAAGGCCAAGTAGGTAGCAGGGTTACATACATATTAGCCCTGAGAGGCTGTTTCAGGAAGCTGTGAAAAGGAGGCCTGGATTGTACTGAAGGCTCCAAGATGTTGGGGACACGGGAGCTGCAAGAGGCCTGCTAGGGAGTACTGTGCTAGGGAGTAGAGTCAGCCCAAGAGACAGAACTATGCTGTAGGTAGCAGGGCCAGAAGGGTGGAGCCATCTAAGCCTTTTGACAGTGGACACGGAACTACAGAATCTGGAGCTTGCCCTGCTGGGTTTCCGTCTTGCTTTGGTCTAGTATCCTTCATTTGCCCTGCTTCCTCCCTTTTTTGAACGATGATGCCTATTCTCTGCCATTGTACGTTCAAAGTATCTGTAAGAGGATATTGAGAGAGTATCCCCTTAACTAGGCATGGTTCATACCTATAACCACAACACTCTGAGGAAAAGCTAGAAGATCGGG